CGAGCGGCGCCTCAGGCCGCTGCTGCCGCCGCCCGTTCCGCGGCCCTGAGGGAAAAATAATGGTGTTCGTTTTTCTTGTCCTCCATTTTTTATTTATGTGGCCGCGCTCCTGCTGGAACGCTGCCTGCCGGAAAGAGCGGGGGGCAGGAGAGCTAAGCCGGGCTCAAAGCGTCGGTCCTGCCGCCTCCCTTCCCGGCGGGACGGAGCTTTTCAAAGGCACGGAGGGGCCAAAACTAGAGAAGAGAAGGTACAGCACGGGTGCCGTGTGTAAACTCGTAGGTGAGGGCGTGAAAAAGGGTTGCCGGCCTGTTACAAAATGATTTTACGCTGGAGGAAGCGATTGTTAAAAACGCCTTTATGTCATTAAAAAGTAGCATACGATAACTGCACAAAAATATAAAAATATTAAAAAATAAGGTTTATGCCTTGATTCCCACTTAGGACAATAACTGATGAGTATTTTTGCTTTAGGCTCAAGTAATGTCCCCACTCAGCTTTCCCTGCACGGACACATTCATGCAGAAATCACTGTGACGATGACGACTTGAATAGAGGACTACCTCGATGTCTGAAATCCTCCTGGCAAAATAGGTTTCACAGTAATGCACCAACAGAGCCATGAAAAAGTGATAGATACCACTTCATGTTACCTACCGTTCTTTCCAATGCTGTTGATCGGAGCTTCAGACTGGGAGGCCAGCCACTCACCATTTCCTACACCATTAACTCTTCCTAGGCACCATCAAACTGCAACATGAAATGACTAATCTCTCTCCCTGTCCCATCTTAGCACCTTAACAGTCATGGGTGTCTCTCTGTTGGTAATAATACAAGCTGGACCGTACCTGCACATACCACAGCAGTATTTGTTAAGTGAGTCTCACTTATATTCAGCGTACAGGCATCAAGAACGTTAAAAGAGAAAAAGACCAAATCTGTGTTCTGTCCAGAAACAGCTACAGCAGACAATATATATTTGTATGTTTTAAAACAGTGGTTCTCACTCATCTTCTTATGTATTCAGTCTTTGGGTCCACATCTGAATCTGATGAATCACTTTCATCAGAACTCGAAGAATTTTGCCACTCATGGGAGGCATCAGGACAGAGTGGTTTCTGCACGCTTTCTGTGTCATCAAGAAGTTCTGAGTCAAAAGCACCAGAATCTGGCCAGCTGCTCTTATCTTCTTGGGAAGGGAGGAGAGCGGCAGAACCACCTACATTCTCTTCAGACAGTCCCAGCAGCACAGTTTTTAAGTTTATGGTAAAGCAAGCACTACTCCTTGACCCATCAGAAGTACAGTTTACCTCAGAGAAAGCATTAATTAACTCTCTGCTTGCACCTTTCTCTTCTTCGGTGTCCATTTCATTCTCTTGAAAAACATCGAGGTCAGAGTCTGCGTTTTGGCTGGCCTGACTGCTGTTGTCTCCGCTCGTACTGTCTGCGCCGCACTGCACAAACACGTTTGACGTGCTGGAGGAGCGAGGCACCCTGCCGAAGATATCACGCCTTCTGTAGTCATCGTTACTTCTGGAATCGCTTTCACTGTCATCGTCGTCGTCATCTTCATCACTGCCATAGCCGATACATTCCTTTGCCTTTTTTTTAACATCCTTAGAGATGACCTCTACAAAGGCTATTTCTTCAGCTTGAAATGTGAAAGGCGAGTAGGCTAATGTTTTGATGAATAACTAAAAGAAAAAAAAAAGTGAATTAAAAAAAATCCAAGTTTACACAAACACAAAACTATAAAAGAGTACCCATAAGAATGAGGTCGTCAAACAAACGGTTCTCCCTGTACCACGTTTCTGGCCTTTTCTGTACAACTCAAAGCACTACAGCTATTCCCTCTTCTTGATTCCTGTAAACATGAACCCCTGCACTACAAATCAAGGCACGCTCACAGAAATGACTTAGTGCCATGCACCTCAGACACAATGTTTTAATTCTCACTCTTGCAATGCTTAAGACTAAAAGCTCGTTTCACAAATACGACTTGGACCCGAGGCAAATCTTGAAATTTTCTACTAGCTTGTATAATTACCATGCCGAAGAAAATAAACAATTAGTAACAATTTTAACAAAGAAGCTAATGAGAATGATAGAAAGCTACCATCTGAAGCAATGACCTGCCCAACATCCCAAAGCCCATTTTCTTTGTTTTACTGGCTGCCAATCTGAAGATTACTGAAGGTTGAAGCATTGGAGAAAAAAAAAAATGCTGAAAATAAAAGATTAATCTTAGATGCTACTTGGCAGCGTGATGTTGAACAATCCTAAGGATGGAAAGGCAAAGTCATAGCAAAGAATAGATGGATAGATAAGAAAAAAAAATATTGAAAATAGTTGAGACCAATCTGTTCTAGGTATGTTTTCAGAAAGTGGTAAAGGCTTTTGTAAAAAAACAAACAGGCCAATAACAGCCCCCCCGACCCAAGATGAAATGTGATGGAAATCACACACTGTAGATAAAGCCAGGAAATAGACAGAAATGAGACCCCAGCTATTTTATTCTTGCTTGAAATTTAGCGGCAATTAACTTCAAGTCGTCACATGGCGCTGTCTCGCAGAAGAAGATTTCATTAAAATTCTGGAAAGAAAATTCTTTTGCATACTATTCTTTTCTTCATTAAGGTAACTGTCCTTTCCTAAACATTGGCTTCTGCTAATCACTCTGCCTGACTAAGAATAGCATGGAATTTGGAAGGTACGTGACTCTTCATGAGAACCCGTGCTTTCAAAGCTGGATTGTTTCTTTTCTTTTGGCTTTTGTTTTCACTCAGCTCCAACATTCAAGTAGATTACGACAGCCTGGTCACAACAGGTAACTTCTGAGAAACTACATTAGCTCTGCATTCCCACAGAGATACTTGGTATATATATGTTTTTTTTCTATCAAGTTTCTCGCTGTGTGATATCCTTTTTACTACTTCCTGTTCATGAGAAAATACACCAAGAAATCACAACCGAGCCTGCGAAAGGACGGTGGACATCAGGCCACACGGAAGAGTTGTCTTCAGCTCTGCTGCGTAACTGTTCAGAAAGGAACAGCCAGGATGCTTCCTTGCTAGAAAAGTATCTGCAAGATAACTGCAATAACCCAAGATAACCCAATTTATAACATAGAATACATGTGAAACTTAAGGTTTCTTACTTAAAACTAAACTACTCAGTCTATCTATTTTCACTAAAGAGGATGTTTCCTTTGATTCAAAAGCTAGTGTTGATGTTACAAAGCAGACAGGCTTCCTGAGGAGTAACAGCGTTTGGAGATGGCTTCCTCAAGTCAAGATTCTTATCTCTGCAGGGCTCTTTGATGATCTGACCTTTCTCTCCTTGTCAGTGTAAACAGCTGCACGTGCGACCAAGTCCAGCAACTTTTTTGCAACCATCATCTAGATTTTGCTTTCTTACCAGGCTGCCAAACCGTTAGTTTTAGCACTTTTTGGATGCTCTCCTTGTCTCCTTTTGTGGACAATAAGGAAGAAGCATAGCTCTAGAAAGAATGTCTTAGACCACTGACTCTTTGCTTCTGCAGATCTGCCTATGTAATTGGCCCATCTTTCGGGCATTCATGAGCTTCTGAGATCAAACATCCCGATTCTAGGCCATATTTACGCTTCACTACAGGAACAGTAAGCTTGGACTGGGAAAAGACAAACAAATCCTTGAAGACAAATTTAATACACTTGCTTTCAGCAGTACAATCTTAAATGCCTTTCTGTAACTCCAGCATCCAGGCATCAGGCTAAACTACCCTCAGAGTTTCAGGGAATGATCTGATTCTTGGTGTAATAAATGAAAAGTTTCATTCAGTTGCAGCAGGGACCAGATTTGTTCTTACAGCATCTTGGTGTAATAAATGAAAAGTTTCATTCAGTTGCAGCAGGGACCAGATTTGTTCTTACAGCAGTCACAATGCTGCAAGGTGAAAAAAAGCCATGTTGGGCAAAATGCACTAGAAATTGCTTTGCTAAGGAGCAACCAGTTCTCAGAGCATCCTGAGCAACTCTGTCAGGATTAGGTTTTCTCCCTGCACACTTCAGCTGAGAACTGGAATGGTTTTCATTTGGAATTGCTGCGCTGGCTCAGATGGTGGAAGGCATCTGGCTGCTGCAACAAGGGCTTGCATATAAGCTAATTTTCAGAAGGAAAGTGGTCGATTATCCCATGCTGGGCACTGCTGTGGGGACTAGCCTGCATCTGCCTGCTGCAGGCAATTCTTTTAAAGTCAGGCTGGGGAGTCTTCCTGTCCTTACAACTTGCAAACTCTAACTTGCCCCAGAAGTAGCAAAAAAAGTTTTTCAAAAAGACTGAATATTTACAATGTATAACACAAAATTTGGTAGCCTACAGACAATCTTTGAAAGTCTGAAAGATGCTAATTCCACGTTTAATAACCTTAAATTCTATCTGCTTCCGCAACTTCTCCACAAAGCATATTATTAGAAGTTATTTTTGCTCAGTCCAGATGGTAAAATTCTTCTTCCCCCACAGGAAGGCTAAATACAAAATTAATACATACCAAGGTACGGGGAAGTGAGCTTTGTTGAAGTATAAAACCTCCTGCATACATACAGGTCAGGATGACAATGATTGACAATGAAAAACATACAGCACCTATGACTGTACCAATACGATAATCTGCAAGCGAAAAAACAAAACAAGAAAAAAACTAAATTTCTAATGATCATGTTTCAAATAATACATTCAGAACACCTATTTAGAACTGCAGAATTATTTTGGTTAGAAGGGACACCTAGAGTTCATTTGATCCAAACCCAGAAGAAGATCAAATTCAAGGTCAGATTCAAGAATTAAAATAAATAAATTATATCATCCTTGATAACTATTTATGCAGCTGGTGTAGATCTGTGCACTTAGCAGGATTAATAGGAGTGTATCCCCAAAATGGAAGGGTTTTTATATTTTATTTATAAATCCACCAGGTGCTTAAATCATGGAAGAAGTTTTCTCTCTTACTATTTTCATAACTGACTTGTAAATCTTGCTGTATTAAAACACAGATGAGTCCATTCTAGACTACAGAACAGTTACCTTTTTGAGCTATAGAGTCTGCAGTTGCACATTTCCAGGGTGATGAGATGGAATTTTTATTTAGAGATGCAGAGATAGCAATGGACACACAGTAATTTCTATTTGGATTCAACTCTTCAATGACTGTATTAAAAACTTCTCTGGTCGTTTTGTTATATCTCTTCTGCCATGAAAGAAAATGTTTTAAAGTCAGCTCTTTACTTAAGAGAGATCCCCAATCACCGATAAAACATTATGAACATTTCAGTGAAATAATACAGTAAGTTAATTAAACTTTTTACAAATAAATGAAATTTCCCTTGAGGGCATTATTTCTTTGAAATCGAACAGTTCCGACTCCAAGAAAGAAAATCTACATGAATTCCCAGCAGATTTTCCCTGGATTCAGCAAGCCAAAGCATTTCTAAGGAGCATATCTATAAAGAGCATATCTAAAGAAAACATTTTTACTAGATCAGAAATTCTGTCTATACTCTGACCTTTCACTAGTGCCTTCTAGATGCCAATTTTTAAGGGTCTGTGGTTCACAATTTAGACTCTGATCTCACTGATGGCTGCCTACTCAGACACTCCGAGATTTCCATTCAACTCCTGGGCTATTTTTTTATACCAAGTAAGCAGGGAGTGCTTGTGTTATTCAAAACTCTGCTTTAGGGGTCATCTTAAGGTAGCCCCAACAGCTCCTCATTAATTTTGTTACTCTGCCTAGCCCTGAAATCAGCCCTTTTCAGAAATTCAGCTCTTTCTACAAGAGTTTAGGTGCCTGTACAGTGCTTGCATTCTTGAAACACTCTAATGTTTTGCAGTACCATGAAAACATAAGTTTTCTAACACTCTTCAAATATATCCATCTTCACAGATTGTTAAGGATTGTTAAGAATTCAAAACCTTGGAAAGGAGCTGCTTTTATTACTGTTTATTTTATCTCATGTCACAAACTTCACTAAGTGTGGCCGGGTTAATGATTCACATCCTACAGAAGGCTATTATTAAATCCGTCCTATTTTAGCAATTAGGTGCTGTTGAAGAGGACTCATTGTGCAGGTTGACCGACAGACAGACTTGCTCTAATGCAGTATCGTCAAGGAGAAGAAAAAAAAAAAGAAAAAAAAAGTAATGCTAATGGACAGAAGGTAACTTCAAAGTGTTCCAGCGTCAAATTGTTATTAACACATGAAACCACAAAGTCTGATTTGACAGGAAGTCAGTGGTTTCCAAGAGCTGTAGCTCTAGTTTAAGCTGTTATTGAGTTGCCTCCTTTATGTCTATTTGTGAAACAACACTATCAAAAAGTAAAAAAAAGAACAGAAAAGTTTCCTTCTGCCTCCAGATGCTGGTCATCATATCCCCCCTCACATGGAGCCAAGGGATCTCACACAGATTCCACATGTATGAAACCGCCATGCATATTCCAACTCAGAAACTAGGGATCTCTATGCCAGGCAAGCTGTGGTCCTCCTGCAAATCACAGCAAAATGAGCTGGATTCCTTATCTGTCTGACCTGTTGTTCACAACTTCCAGTACAGACAGTTTATTCCAGTGCTTTGCCAGTATTAATCTCTCTTGATACCCAGGATCTTCTCTGCTACAGCTTCAGTTTGCTGAGTTTTGCCTCTGTCAGAGTGCATGGTTTATTTCTTCCTTCTTTGCAATCAACATTTATACACCAGGACTCAGGCCTCTCGCATGCTTTCTTCGCATACATTAACCAGTCCCCTGTTCCTGCAGGGTTTCCTCCTGGGCCATAGTTCAGGACCCCTCCAGAGTCCTCACTGTTCTCTTTAGGATCCTGCTCATCTGGTCTGTGCCTCTTTTGAACCTTGGGATGGATGGACACAGTGCTGCAGGTGGGCTTTAGAAGCACTAAGAATGTGAAGAAAAACATGTCTTACGGGTTCTTTATAGTGCCTTTTTTTTCTGCCGATGCAGAACTGGATACATAGTTTGTGTTTCATGGAGGACTTTCTAAGGGGGATTTTTCTATCACCTATGTATACAACTACTAGTAGCTTCAATTAAACCTCTATTTCCCTTGTCTTCCCGAAAAACAATCCCTTTAGCCAGTGCCCATGCTCGGCTTCCATAAAGATAACAGGCAAATAGGGTTCTTTTCCTAGGCTGCTTCTCTGGTGCAGAAGGAAGTCAAATTTATTCCTGACAGATTAGGTTGGCTCACCCTTGGTTTTCTTCTAAGTACTTTCTATTCAAATATTTGCTTTCGTCAAGCTGCTAAGCTTTGGGGCCATTTTATGTGTTCTATTTTCCTTTATTCTCTGATGCACAAACAAGAAATTCTTTACCTGTTCCTCAGGTGTTGTCAGTCTTATCTCATAATCAAGCTCTCCGTATATATCAACTAAAGACAGCAGCTTTCCATATTTTCTAAAGTGAGATTTTGGCAGCTTTACAGTGATATTTAAGCATTTTGGACAGGAACTTATGTTAACTTCTGGTGGTCCCAGGAATGCTATTAAAAAAGAAGAAGGAGGGGAAGGAAGAAGCATACACCACTATTGAGCTCGGCACTCTCCAAACAGGCATTCCTTAATCCCATCTTACTTCAAAACAGAATTCCAGAAGCTCCGCTCCAGGGTGAAGCCACCTCTGGCATGAGAAAATAGCACTACTAATAAGTGTCTATTTGTAGGAGCAAGTAAGAAGAAAATGGCACATTGATGAACAAGGAGATAAACCTTTTCCCCAACACCTAATATGGGCTAGATTTTTAAAAAATTCCTAACACCAACTACTTAAAGACGTGTGTGTGTATATATATATATATATATTTAATACTGCGGATAGCATCTTATGTACTTACTGTTTTTTACTTTGTGTTTGTGAATACTCAACACAATACTATTTCCTTCAAGCATACACACACACACAGAGAAGATAGATGTATGTATGTATATTTCAAAACCAGGAACAGTGTCCGTTTATCAGAAACGCTTTAGCCACGCATGTCAGACAACTATCTAAATATTTTTTGTTGTTATGCACTAGATTATGCACCAATTCACATTCTTTCCCATACAGGAGTATAGCTAGCCACTAAATCAACTTGGTGTGCTTTACTGTAATGTTAGTAGAGCACCATTTAAATGTAACTAGAAATAAAAACTACCCAAACTAACAAATGCAGGCAGAAAACTTACTGTCATAAAATGGTTCAAAATAAAGTGCAGAAGAATTGAATACTTCCTTTTCCACAAAGCTCTGAACCATTGTAACATAAGCAATAGAAACATCTTTAAAATCCTCTGTAAGATTACATGAGAATTGCGTAATATTTGAACACTGTTTAGCAGTCATCCAGTCATTTCTGTAAATTGGAACAAAAAGAAAAAAAAAAATCAGTCTATCATCTAGTTTAAGAGAGCATTTCTGAAAACATGAAAATTGACAGATGTATCAGAAGATCAATTCTACTGCTTAATGTATAATCAAAAATAACTAATCAGATCTGAATTATTTTGATTGCACTCTCATTTTAGAAGAGCAAGAAGCACATATTTCAACCAAGACCTTAAAAAGTAGCAAAAGCAAACTCATAGGATAGGGGGCAAGGGTAATGTGTAAATACTATCAGGTGGGTTCTGTTCCTACAGCAATCTAAGTCACTGGTGTCATTCCCCCTGGAGGACCTGAACACAGGAATAGCGCTGCTTCCCGCTGTGCACTTTCTGTGATGATAAGTATGAAGGATGCTACCTGTTCTCGAGACAGTCCCTCCACCACAGCTAGTACCTTTGAAGTTCCCTACAGTCAAAAAGGCCAATCTGCTCAGCCACATTGACACACACATGCACACACAAAGCTAATTTTGCTCGCATTTTACTTATCGTTAGTCCTTCATTTTCTTTATTTCAATGGCACATCTGTTTAGTCAGGGCTTCTATCTCCTATGGCACACTTTACATGTTGGTTCTCCTGGATTCTATTATCACCACAAACAACCCTCCTCTACTTGCAGTATAAACAAAGGTTACTTCTGATGCCTCAGACTAGCCACAGCCAAAACAGCATTTCATCCGTGACTTCAAATCTGACTCTTTCAGGCCTTTCTCTTAGAACTTCAGTTGTATTATAAAGACATAGAATAGTTATATACACAAGGAAGACCTATGATATCAAGGAAACTGCCTACAAAGATTTTAGATAAATGCCACCAAAATTAAATATAATAATTAGATAAATTGGTTCTACATTAAATGGCCAGCCTCCTCAGCCTGCATTCCTGAATCTTCACATGCCCAAGAGTCACAAGTCGGTCACCGGCCCAGAAATGGCTGTTGCGTAGGGGCCTCACCAAAACCCCATCTCTCTACGTGAGGATGGAACCAGGACAACCAGCAGGACTGACCTCAGCAGCCCCAATGACTCATTTACTCCTATAAGGAGCAGTCCTGGTTATCTCACACGTCTCCAGGAGGCCAGCACCAAAAGTCAGCCACGCGTCACCATGCGCCATTGCTCCAAATGAGAGAGCTACTTTTGAATAAATCTGTAACTACAAAATACCTACTAGCCACCTTTACAGCTGGACATCTTGGTAAAACCCTGTTTCCAAAAGGGCAACTTGGCTGAGCAGAGGTGTCTTCAGGGGCATTAAGGCTCCCCCACTAGACCTAGTGCTCTCTACATTTCAAGTGATAACAGAGTGCAAAAAAAAAGTTATTAATAAAATTGACTGCAAATGTTCCTGGACCTTTTTTTTAATTGCTTCTTTTCCATGATACAATTTGCTTGCAACATGAACACATAGGGAGCTTAAGCAAGACACAGCTAATTATACAGTAAAATCCAATTCTTTCCTTTTAATCTAATAAACCCCCCTGCAAGTAGAGCCCCCAAGTAGAAAGAAACAGACCAACAAAAGAGACACAGACTGAATATTCTGAGTAGACAAGCATTAAAAGCAAAATTGTATCTTATATGAAGTCAGACATACTTGCGGTCAGTATACAACACACGAAAGCGTGTTGGCACAGTTGGATCACTTCCTGCCTGCCAGGACAAAACATGTTGAAAATTGTGAGAGTTTATTTGTGGGTTGAGTGGTGGCCCTCTCACAGATGTTGCTAAAAAGAAAACAAAAATAAAAACCATATGACATCAAAAAGAAAGGCAAACAAATGCAAGGTAGCATCAGTTCTGATCAACAAACCCTATTAAAGCAGCTCAATGTCAGCCCCCAAACAGAGCAACTATGGAATAGCATTGAGTTCTGCACAATAACAACTAATGCAAAGGACCTTCCTACTTCGTCTTATTTGTATGAAGTTATTTCTTCAAAAGAAATAAAGTTGTTAAGTGATGCTCAGTGGGAACATGCAAGTGCTTTGTAAAGTGTTAGGAAATACATTTGAAACACAGCAGGAACTCTTACCAGGCAAGCTGTAAGAAGCTGTAGACAGAATGCTCATGCACACTGAAAAATAAAACCATATATTAGTGCATTTGTGTGTCTACAATATCTGATCCATGAGAAGTATTAATTTACTACTAGCAATAGTAATTTGCAACAATTAAATACCAATATTCTCTCTAACATTTTGTAGTCCCTTAACTTCCTTTGTGGTTGGGTTGTCTCTGATATCTTCCTCTTCCTCCTTTCCTCTGCCTTTTCTTCCACTTTCGCAGAGTGTGCATGTCCCTTTCCAACCAGTCATTAAATCAAGACCCTTAGCAGCAAGTTCCTCAATAAATGCGCTGTTTTTACAGGCTTACACTGATCCCTGGTAGAAAGGGCTGAAGTCTCAGTTTAAACAAACTTACTTAAGAAATACTTATCAAATATTGCCTTAAAAGAGTTCTTCCTGCATCTCAGGTAGCTCATGCTGTTTATTAAACAACATGTCAAGTCAGGACGAGAATCTTAAGCCTGGACAAGAATCTTAAGCCTAGACTAGGAAAAGATAGATATTACAGCTGGAAGAACATGACAGTCATCTTCACAGATGTCCTTCTTCACTAAAGGTGGGAAGTCTTCAATGCAGTACCATAACAGTTTCTGAATTCACTCTTTTTCAATCAGCTAACTCTTAACTCTGTTCCAGTTGCCTGTCTTTTCCAATGTAAAGTTCATGTCCTGTGTCTGTAACATTAACCTGTGATCACTTCGAACTCTTTCTCTCATTCTATTCCCTGCCTGTAAAAGAAATAAAACAAAAACCAAAACTGAAACAAAACAAGGACAAAAACTGCAATACGTGTACACTCCTAGTGCCGAAGGGCACAGTTTGAATATCCTCTTGAGCTCAACCTTCTCTCCAATCTCCACATCTGGAGTTCTCTGCATTTACCTACTAATGATACATTTCCTTGGAGGAAACTCTTTGGTTTAGAAGGAACATTTTTTTGCTGCTCTCTTTTAACCCAGCCATTGCGCCAGTTCTCAGCTGTCATGCTGAAGGAATTCCTGTTCACAGGAGCTTTTCTCTCCTCCTTTGTGAGCTTTAAATACTTCTCCCCTATCAACATCAAGTTTGGTTCATTTACAGCTTGAAATACTGCGATAACTTTGTTTCAACAAATAAGGCTAAACAAAAAAAGCTGGGGTTGTAAAAATGGCGTAAGTCAGACTCTTACATAAGGAACATAAACAGAAATAAGGAGTATCATAGACCAAATAACTGTGGGAAACAATGGAATGAAGCAAAAAACCCACACAACTCTAAACTAAACAGGGAAATCTTTTGTTCCTTTTACAGAATTAAATTATTTTTATCAAGACAGTTTCCCACTAAGTCTACAGCTGAAACAACAAACTATGATTGTTGTGTCCACTAATCCAGAAACTAAAGAGCTCTGTTAAAAAGACAAAAAAAAAAAGGAAATGAGGAGTGACATGTCCAACTGAAAATTCACTAGAGATTTAGGGAGGCAGAAAGTTGTTTTAAAAGTTGTGTTTTTTTTTTCCCTAAGGGAATAATGGTTTAATTATAGAACTGAGTCTGTGGAATATAACCCTGTGGGATCTGGATTCTGTGATTCATTCCAGGGACAGCATCATAACAGCATGCTGCTATCTCAGGTCTGTAACTCAGAGGGGTGTTAGTGAGAAACAATACAACGTCTCTTACAGTATAAAGTTACTTGTAACTTACCAAGTTGATACAAATGTAGTGGTTCACCCATCAGTGTTGCCATTGTGGTTAAGAAATATGACCTACTGGTTATGAAATATACATTTTGCTTCTATGCCTGCAAATACATTAAACAAAAATCAGATTCACCAAAACTATTAAAATATTGCCTCTCCTAAATGTTATTATTCCACCTCATGTATTATCCTCATAATGCTAACATTACTGGGTTTGAATTATAAGCAGAATAGGAAGGTGCAACTGTGAAACAAAGGATAGTAAGGTCTAACTTCATACCATACACTACAAACAGCTCATTTAAAGGTAAGCCCTTATCCCAAATGTAAATCTTCCTCTGCTCGAAGTTTTAAAATAACTACAGAAAGTCACTGCACAATGCGGAGAACCTAAATCTGTGGAAGTGATAAACGTCCTTCCATAATAACAATCTACTTTGCAGATGACAAGAAAGTCTCCCTCTCCCCATTTCATTTTAAATTTCCTAAATATTACTCACACTTGCATGAATGTATTAAAAAAATAACTAAAATGCTTATTTTCCTCTTCCTGTCCCAAACTAACAGCTTATGAATATGGAGATAACATCCACTAGTTACTAAATCTTGAAGTTTAGCATCAAGACCAGCAAGCTGGAAACTGATGAAGTCACCAATTTTACAGCCCATTTAATACTAATACTGTACTAATAATGAGACAGAAAAAAGACCGAATGACTTTCTTATTTAGATCAAGCATTACTAAACAGCAAAAACAAACAAATAAACAAAAACCCACCAAAATACTTTCTTCTTTCAACAAGGCAGCAAACTTTGTTCTGAAGCCACATAGAAAACTAAAGCCTTATACCGTTATTTTCAAAGTCATTTTAAAGAGCAGAGTTTTACCTGTAGGATCTGATACTCCAGGCTACTCAAAATAATCTCTCCCTGGGGAAAACCTTGAGGTTCCTCAATTCACTTTACAAAAATATTTAATTTATGTTTTAAATCTTGCAATTAATCACAAGACCTGTTCAAAGCACTCTGTACAGAGTACTATAATAGACTTGCTTGCTTGCGTCTTAGCTCTGTCCTGAAGAATTTGAAGTATTTTGTAACAACTCCACATATCGAACACAACGTACCTCAAAATGATCCATTTTCAGAGTTAAACTGGAATGTGGTCCTTGGAATAGGCAAGAAAAACATGACAAAAGTTTCTCATCGAGTCTGGAGAGCTGTCTAAATCCATATCTTCTGAAGAAGCACCAGTGAAATTCCAGGAGAAAGCCATGTTTGTTGGAATCCTCATCAGCTCTTACTGTTCTTCCTCCTCAGAGCAGCACCTGGAGAGAAGCCATGGAGGACACCGGTGAGTCCAGCTTTCACACATCCCACCAGCCCAGGCCCTTGGGCTGCCAACACAACATCCAAACTGGCTGCTCCTGGGGGCTGACCGAGGCCTCGGGCACTTCCAAGCTTCGCACTTCCCCTTTGGAAGCGATCTCCATAGGCAGCCTGTTGGTAACCTGAGTTCTGGCTGGCTGCAGAAACCATCCTCTATCACAGCAGGTTACATGGGGAAGCTGCCTGCTATGGAAGACCCACAGAACCCAGTTTGCCTGACACCGAGAAGCCAGCATTGCTGCTAGGACAAACGGGACACATGCAAACAAGTGTTTAAACAAGTTTAAATGCAGAGCACATGCAATGCCAAGCGCCTGGCTATGGAATAGCTGCTTTCCCTGGCTCCGAAGGAGCACAGTCTGTAAAGGTTTCTGGCTCTCCTGCCTTGCAGGTGAATTTTGCTGACCAGCTCTGAAAATAAGTTGGGAGAAAAACTTCCAGGAACTCCTGTAATTATTACACTGAAATGAAATTGCATGTTTTGGGACACTGCCTCCTCCTTTTGTTAATGCACAGAGCTCTAGGATTTTTTGTATTTGCTTCGAATAAAAGCAGTTTTTGAAAGCTCAGAAGTGTGTTTTCCAGAGAAGCTCCACCTCAGTCAAGAAGAAAACACATCCTCTTCCTGGAACAAGCAGATAGCATATTTTTTTACAGAAAAAAATACATGCTTATTTGAATTTCTTTCGGAAAACAGCCAGGCCGCAAGAGCCGCTGCAGGGAGCGCGCTCAGCAGCAGGATGCTCCAACCGCGCGCAGCTGGCGCTGCCCTCACTGCTGAAGCGCCGCGAGCTACAGGATCGGGCGGGGGGGGCCCCACTGCAACGC